TACATCTTATCCTACCGTACTCACAGAATACCGCTTTGTAATCGTGCTGTATAATGTAGCACAATATCACCGCTCCGAGAAGATGGATGTCCAGGGCGAGGGCGGGGGAAGGGGAAGGGGCGGAAACAGCCAGTGGAGGGGGTGAGGCAGGGGCAGGGAAATATGATGGAGTACCTCAACGTTTGATGCAAAAACGCATGATCGCACCGGCTCGTCTGGTGTTTTCCAGCCTGGCTGTTTTCCTGCCAGAGTTGTTCACTGTTTGACCGTATCACTAAAAAAGTAGGGAGATCTCTATATTTGTTCTGAAGCGTCGAGAAAAATTAGAGTTCCGTTTGGTCCTAAGCCGCAAAACTGTTGCGATGCGCTGTCTAACAAAGCGGTGCCATCGACATTATATTTAGTTGGTTTTACTGCGAGAACGCGCTGCTGAAAACCTCCAGAGCTGGCTGCTGTCATAAAATCCGGCGAATGATCATACTCTGGATGTACTGCTGTTGTCGAGTCGGGCATTCGCTCCGGGACGACTGACATCAGTGTCACATCAGAGTCAAACTGATCGTTAATCCTAAGCAGCTCCAATTCAGTGTCATTGAAATTCTTACTAAATTCTGCATTTACATCACAGTGCAGCTGGCTCTTGCCATATTTGAACAATTCGTCGTAGGATGGAGAAGTAAGCCTTGAAATTTTACGGAATTTTGGCCAGAGCAGAGTTTTGGCTTTTTGACTCTGAAATCACAAAAGCTAGAAATCTGAACCTTCTAAAAAGTGTGTTCTGAACCACGTATAACCCGCAGGTTTAAATTCAGCTTTCACATAAGCCAGGGTCTCAAGCACGGTCGTGCGAAACATTGGCACCAAAATTAACGCGGGGACCGCAAAGCTGATGGCCTAAAACTTTGCGGTAATATATCAAGCCAATGTGCGCTCCAAGAAATTCAAATTCAGGCTCTATTTACGCCTAGGTTTTACGTACGAACAAATGGGAACTTTGCGAAAAACTCCTGCCTCGGAAACCGAGAACATGGAAAACTGAAAATTTAGCACTGTGCTTCCCCTAAATGTAAAAGCCTGGAGCTTCAAATTCATCTTTCGTATACGCTTTATTCAGGTACGAAAATGTGAAATCTTACCCGGAGAATTTTTAGTCCGGTGGCTAGAAGATTGGCGCGTGAGAAAATAAAGTACCATGGCAAGGCGTTTTGCTGGCCCTGCCGACAATCGGTGGGCAAGGAGCAATAGTGGGTTTTCATACAATATGTCAAATAATGATTTATGGTTTTTTGTTAGAAACTGCGTAAGGAACAATTGCGTCACTGTGATGCAATACCCTGGCCCCCGGTACAACCTTTGGGCACCTTACCACTGTTAAGGTTTTGCAATCCCAGTGGTCTCTCACCACTGGGGTATAAAAACGCTTCTCCCCATTTCCGGGATCCATAGTCACTCCTTACTGCTTAACTCTGTTCTGGGGAATCTCGCCACCTTTTTTTGTATTTTTATTTTTACTTTACGTTGCGTAACTTTAGTTAATATCTGTAATGACATGTATATAATTAAATACATTAATTAAAGCTATGCAGAACAGTGCTACAGCAAAACTGGCTCCATGTATATATATATATATATATATATATATATGTATATGTATATATAACTAGGTGCTTCCACACACACACACACACACACACACACACACAAAGGGCACACAACTAGTCTAGTTTATTGACTTTTAGGGTCGCGATGTAAAGCCAAACACAAAAGTTCTCCCTTATCACTGGGTTTTATTAGAATAAGCAGAAATTTAGTCATTATCAAATTACGTGCGGCAAGAGGGTACATTGAGGTTTAGATTTATATACATCTTACTGAGTTAAGATACTGAATTAAAGGGGCACCATGAGGATGCTAAATAAAATGGGCACCATGACTGCTATCTGTTCATTACCGTCCTTCGGTTTTGCCACATGCATATTCACCAGGAATAATTATACGCCCATTTGCAGCAATTAAATATACCCGCCCTAGAGGAAAGAGGAAGATCGCGCGATGATAATAATGATCTGCAGCAATCTACCATTAAAACAGTTAATTATTATCCAGGCTGGAACGCAGCAGGCTTGCCAGTGCGATCACACGTTTCTGCACTATGCTCACCGATCGCTAGTAGCAGGAACAACCCCTGCTTTTTAGCCCAACACTTGGGCTCATATTGGCCGTGCTCTGGCCTCTACCTTCATGCAACAGAAAAGGCATCGGTTGGGATGAAGATGTTTCGTTATAGGACAGCGTGAACATCCAAGCAAATGATTATCGGTTTTTTGCATGGAGCCCGGTGTTTTTTCTAGTAAATACTCATTCTTCGAAAAAATGCAAATTCCCAGTTCACTGAAAAATGGAAATGTTGCTAGAGCTGTCGTTCATCAAACTTAGGCTGAAACGCACCATGCGGGCCGGAGCGATCATATATTTTTACGCCTGACTTGGAGTAATTAGATTAACTGCCCGAACGTTTGTTTCTTTACACCTACCTTATGCGCTCAATACCGTAAATCATCGTAAATTTTGCATAAAAGGAAATAAACAATTTCCGTTTAGCGGACGTTTTTATTTGAAAATGACTCAGCTGTTCAATGAATAATTTTCCTGCCAAAAATTTAAGTGCCCGTACACGAGAACCACGCATGCATGGGGGCTAAATTTGAAACCTTTAATCTATATAAGGACAGCGAATATTGTCCTTAAATCTCAGCTTTCCAGCTTTTCTGGTTCCCGAGTTAGCCATTTTCCCACCAAAAAAGTTTCACAAGGCTGTGGGTGAGGACCACGTACGACTGGGAGCTGAACTTGATAATTTTAAGCCGTACCTCGGTTGGGAACGTCCCCTGAAAATTTTAGCCTCCCGGCTTTGCTAGTTCCCGACCTAGCCATTTTCCCGCCGAAAAGTTTCACGGGGCCGTACACATATGACAAGAGGCTGAATTTGATAGGTTTATGTTGTAGGTTATTGTTGTAGGTTATAACATACCTATACCAGTCCTTGAAAATTTCAGCCCCCTAGCTTTCCTGATTCCCAAGTTAGCGATTTTAGCGTCAGCAACCCTCACGGAGTTGTACGCGGGGAACATACACACCCGGAGGCTGAATTTGAAATTCTTGAGTTATATGTGAACGGGGATCACATTCTCAAAATTTCAGCTTCTTAGCTTTTCCCGTTCTCGAGTTATCAATTTTTCCGCCAAAAATTTCACCCTCTCGTAGGCGGCCCACACTTGTGTAAGGGATGGGACATGGCCGGAGAACCCACTAGAAAAATTTTGGCGCCAGACTTGGGTGCCGAGCTGAAATCCCGGACAGACAAACACACACACACACACGCACAGACATACACACACAGACAGGGTCGTTGCAGCATGCGTTTTGGCAATTTGCATGTAAACAAAAACGCATGAAAACGTATATTACGACAACCCATTGTGTGTGTGTGTGTGTGTGTGTGTGTGTGTGTTTGTCTGCCTATCGGTCCGGGTATTTCAACTCGGCAACCAAGCAAGCTTTGAAGTTGAAATTCTGCCAGTAGGCCCTCTGGTGAAGCGTTGCTCCAGGAAGGGGCTCCAACTTTCCCGCGTGTCTGAGCACCGCGTGCGAGCGCGTGAAAGCTTTGAAGAAAAAACTGCTAACTCGAGAACCAGAGGAGCTGAAACTTTAAAGGGATGTTCTCTGTCCATGCATAACTTTAAGATTTCACGTTCACTTCTCGGGTGCTTGTGCTTCTCACATGAGCGCACGTGAAAATTTTGGCCAAAGAATTGCTTACTGAATAGTTAGGTCATTTTCAGTGAATAACGGGTTTGCAAGGAACATGTGAAAAGCAAACAAAATATCAATTTTAAGAGTTTAACAATAATTTGCCAAATTGCACAAGGAACAAAGTTCACTTACCAGTAGAGAAAGGGTTCTAAATATTGGGCTACAGGGCTTACTGAGCTTCTTCCGCACTTGGTGATATTTGAAAATAAGGAATAATAAAAAAGGCAAATTCGGAAGCAGTAGTGCAAAATCCCAGTATCAGACACTGTAAAGGATGAACCCTTATAATTTGATAAGCGTGAAAAAACTTATTGGAATTCACCGGCAGAGGCGGTGCAGTGGGGTAGCACTACTGTCCTGCAATAGGCCGCAAGTTCAACTCCGCTGTAGGACAGCCAATCTCTCTATGATTCGTTTCGCTAGTAAATTGGTACCGGCGTGTGCCAGCCAGGAAATCAAACTCGCCATTAGCTTGCTTGTAAGCAACCGTCAGAAAAAAGAACCTTACCAGCGGGTGGTTGCCCTGCTAGCATTTGGTGCTACTCCGGCTACTTCTCAAGTGCCTCCACCACACACTAAGAGCGAAATACGGGATGCGTTTTGACTTTTGACTTTTCGATTGAAAATTGAGAGACTGCGAAAAATACAGCACGTAGGAACTCAACCAACCCTTTGATTAAATTTGTGCATTTTTGTAATTTGGATAACTTTTTGGCTGCAGGCGTTGCTGACCTGCCACCTTCCCCGTTCCTCTCGTCTCACCAGTCCGAGATAAGAAGGCATAGAAAAAAGTTACTTTCTTCATTTTTGCAACAATTTTTTTTAAAAAATTTGTTAATTATTGCAGAAATGGTGGACGAACCTTTCTTCAAAGTGAATGACAAAAATGTTTTTTTATGCCTTTCGCACGTTTAAGCAAATGCAACCCAGGCTGGAACGCACAGGGCGGGCCGTGCTATCATAAGTTTTTGCATCCGGCTTGAATTACTCAGGTCATTAACTCTATGAATGGCTATTGCTTTACACATACCTTTTGCAGTCGTCAGCATAAATCGCATAAATTTCGTAAAGCAAATATACAATTTTCATTTAACAATCGCTCTTTAAAAGTAACACAGTTGTTCAGTGAGAAATTTTTGCGTAAGAATTTTAAGCGCTCGTATGTAAGAACCACTTATACCTCAACGCCGAATTCGAAATACTTTAGTTGTACTTGGACAGGGAACATTCCCTCAAAATTTCAGCCCTCCAGCTTTTTTGG